GCATGGATGAATGATTTTTTTCATTCGAGAAATGTAGTAAAATGAATATAACAACTTCGGAAGAATCTTCTCATGTGGTCATTGATTTTTGAATCACAAAGTTTGGATCCAGGACGAAGAAGTTATGGGACTTCATTTGAACTGTACACATATACTCTAGACCAGTGTTCCAACCATTTTCCAACCCAAATACGATCTGCGGATCTCAATAGACGAAGTACATACAAAGAGAGCTCCTCTTCAAGATCTAACGTTCGGACGAAGAATCACTCGAGTTGGAGACTGGAGTAGGAAGTTGTGGCCATCTAAGTGCACTTGCCCTAAGTTGGACGCTAGCAGACCTTCTTCATTATAGAGGCGAGATGTTCGGAGACGAGTCTGGAAGGCAAAAAAATATATATCCGAGTAAGCGCATCGTCAGGACAGAACGAACGAACCAAAAACCAGTCCATTTCCGGCCCGGATGAAAAAGTTATGGCCTTCGGGGTGATCTGCACCCGTGTTTGGCGCCAGGATGACGTGCGTTGTTCCCCAGTGTCGGAACATTGTTCCCCGGTGTCGGAACAGCGTGTTTTCATTTCAGATCCGTAGTCCACGAAATTTGATAGGCAAGGAGAAGCCGGCAGATCTAAACGACGGGTGAAAGAATCAATCCATTCGGATCTGAGGTGGCAAAGTTATGCCCAATCTCACCCTCTATGTTCGAGACATCTGAAACTCAAGCGTACCGGTTGACTCACCCACGAGACAGCATCGGAACACTGTGTCGGCGTTTCGGGTCCGTACTTCACGAAATTCAACAGGTGATGAGAGCATGTCCCAGCCGCCGCAACACCGCGGTCACCTCCGCCTCGAGGTTCGCAATGGCGTCTCGCGACCTCGCCAGGAAGTAATCTAACCGCTTCGCTACTCGCCGCCGACGCCGACTGTCACCCGACATCAAAGCCGCCGCACGAATCTCTAACTCGCGCAAGGTGACTCTCTCCCGCGCTACCACCTCCCAAAGAGTGTAACCTCTCAGACATTGGTTCACTCGCGTGACTAACTCCTCTCGCGTGCGATTTGTCGCGCGCTGGTTGTCGCCTTCAAACTCCAGTAACTGCAGCTCCGCATCCGCACGCTGTACTCTCAATTCGTTGCACTGCGATTGCAGGCGACGCAGTAACTCCTCATCTGCCTTGCGTGCGATCTGACACTGTTCCAGCAACCGTGTCTGCCGCACGAGCTCCTCTGCCAAGGTGCCATTCTGAATTCGCTCCGAATGAAGCTCCGCCTCCTTCGGTACTAGTACTTCGGTCCTCGGCCACTTTTGAGGTCTAAGTAATTTTCAATATCCAGAGTTTGATAAGATAAATCCAATGTTGGAGTCACAAGGCCTCGATTACCGACAGGTCCACCTTTCCACTGAGAATCCACAGAACTAGCGGCAGCTCCTACCGAACTGCTGGCACGATGTGCGGTACTTGCCATATGAGGTGAGTCAGGCATAAGTCGGTACTGCTCGTCAGTGGATTTGTCATATCCTAGATATTGATGTGGAGAAGAGTGTTCAACGGCTGCTTTTCCCATCCGCCTGACTGCTTCTGACTGCTTCATCTGCCCCTCAAGAACAATCCATTCTTCACTTCCGCTGGAGTCGTCCGCTGAGTACATTCGCTCGTCCTGTGAGCACTCACCTTCGACATAAAAGGTGTTTTCTCCTCCATACCTGACGCGGCTTGTGATATCTGAGCCAGGGAGCTTCCATCGTAATAGTTTCCTGTGCTGCTGCCTGCACAATCGCTTTGCCCGTCTTGTTCGTACCTGGTGGTAGAGAAAAAAGACGTGATTCCCTGATCGGAACTGGAGTCTAAAGCCTTCTCCTGATGCCTTGGCGGAGCTGCTGATGCCTTGTGAGCACCTCCTACCTTCAGAGGTTTCTTAGGATTATATTCACGATTGGCGGAGGATCTCTCAACTTCGTCACAATTCTGTTCATTGTAAGTCTCTCGTCTTGATTTTGGTTGTGATCCCCTCCCGGGCTTTGCGCATGCCTGTCTGTTAGGCGTTTGCTTCGTTCCGGCTCTCAAAAAGGCACACCTTACACCTGCTCTCGTTCTGTAGGTACTACTGAAGGACTCTCTGAACTTGTCCACAAGGTGCGATCGATCATCCCCCAATACCTGCGATCGTGAAGTCCAGGACTGGCAAATTTAACAAAAATGTACAAGGGAAAACATGACCATCATTTTGCAAACCAAAACTTTTGCGGATCCTAAGAAGTTCTTGGCAAGATTGACAATCCACAAGTGACTTTGGGATAAGTTGTAGAGAACTGACCGGCATCAAGGTTTCCATCAAGGCACTTTCCAGGAGCTGCAAAACACAAAGTTGGAATTACACGTTTGCTACAATTGAGTGATGTGATCGACAGTGACACTCTACAATTGTTTTGAGTACGATGTGCGAAAAGCATTGCAAGTATGATCCATGCAGGGCTCTTCGCACTCACGTGAGACAGGCTTTCCGCTGCTAATGAACCTTCGTGGTAACCTCTGTTCTGTTCCAAAACCTGTACACGGAACGAAGTTCGAAAGATCAGACGAGGTTCATGGAGTATCTCAATCCTTCTAAGGTCTAAAGTGGAAGATCTCTTTTCGTCCAGAATTAAGAACTTACAACAGACTACTTCAGTGACTTTATAGCTTTGTGTAAACGCTTGCTACGACTCACTGAATTAAGCCATTACTACCCATTTCCTTGGTTAAAAGAAGGATCATCTCGTATGATTATAATCTTTCCACTTTACAAATCTTTGATTGCCAATAACATTATATCTCTCTCAAAGAATACGAAGAAATTCCTTTATGATGAAGTAAGAAGACCTCAGATTTTCATAAAACCTGGTGTGAGAATATTGGTCAGGTGCATCAAAGACCACCAGCTTTAGAGCATTTCCTGTCTCATATAGGTAACGGGTGCCGTGTAATAACCCACCAAAGGCTAAAACTGCAGTATGGTGGTAAAAAGGTCGAACCCACAGGGACAGAAGCAACACACAGAGTACAAAGTGTCACGTTTAACAGACTTTTGGAGAGTTTGAATTCTCAGGCGACTGTCACTCCCAGAAATACTGCAAGTGCTCAACTCGGAGGCCACTCGGAGGATGCTCAACTCGGAGGTCACTCAGAGGATGCTCAGTGCAGCGTAAGTCACTCAACACACACACCTGAAATTGGAAAAGCACAACTCGGAGGTCGGTCAGGACCTCCGCTTAGGATTTCAGGGGGAAAAGTCTCTCAAGAGTACATTCAGAGGCTCTGCAGGTAGTGACTCTCACTCCGGCTTTTACAACCCTTCCGCTAGTTCCTGCTAGCGTAGGGAACCCGGATTGGACTTCCCACTTCGGAACGAAGTCACTCATACGCGGTGGACGTCACTCTCGACTCACACCAAGCGCAGAGAGTACAGGCCCGACTGAGAAACTCAACTGAGACACAATCCAATAACACACACACCATAACCTCAAGTTTGCGAACTCCGAGTTCTCCGACCTCGAGTTCACCGACCCCGAGTTCACCGACTCCGAGTTTGCCGACTTGAAGTTGATCCGAAGACGTCCGTTGCAGAAGGCGAATATCTAGGGCCGAAGGCGGATATTCCGCCGACGACGAACTCCTTTCGCCTATCCGTAGGCGTTCTACTTCGCATCTTCCGACAGTCACAACTCCCTGAGTCCTCATCTGTTCCAGGCGTTCTTGGGCTCGTTAGAACCAGAGCGTCAAGTTCTTTCCAACGAGACCCTAAGTAACTCGAGGCGTTAAGAATTGAGGAAGTTATGAGTGATCTACCGCCGAAGGTGCTCGAAGCGAGTCCTGCAGCGTGAACCGCCTGTTCCATTCCAAGCGTTCCACTTTGGCCTAAGCCCAAAACCCCTTGACTGTCCTCAATACTCTTTTAATTCTGGCTTTGCGTACCGATTACTATTTACAGCTGATACCACGGTACTTACTATTCAAAAATGTTTTAGTTCCGACGAAAAACAAAAAGTGGGTTACCACATGCCGCAAAGTAAAATTTCCTCGAGGTAATGACTACACATCCAAAAGTGTAGGTACCCTACAGAGGTAGTCTTTTACGTCGGTTATTTATTTTCACCACATAAACAGATTGTCCTTGATGGAAACGAACCACAAATAAAACTTGCGCGACAGCCATGCTGAGAGGCTCCGACAATTTCTGCAGATCCATCGGGAACTGATCCTCAACATGAAGTGCACTACCCTTCATGGTTGATTTCCATCTCCCACTGGACAATTCTGACTGTTTTTTAGGCTTCTGACGGCCCCTTCCAAGTTGAGCTCCCAGCATCAATGTAAGAGCTCCAACAATGGCCGCATATGTGACAGCACCAGTCATATTATCACTTGAACGTGAGTGTTGCTCTGAAGTTGTCGAAACCTGTTCTTTCTCCACTACCAGTATGCGAAAGAAACAACAGGAACCAAGAATTCTGCTCAGCCTTATCCGGCGGGGAAAACATCACCAAGTCTGAGGCCGGCACAAGTGAAGTAATTTACCCGCCCTGAGACACTATGCCCCCTGAATTACTAGGCTTCAAGGGTTCGGCCTTGATAGAATTAGCTGGAGGCACGGACATTTCAGAGTGCTGTTGTACATAATCCCTTCCTCCACTTCCTTTGGAAGCTGCAAGAACCTGCTCCACCTCCTCACCACTATCTGACGAAGACCCCTGGTTCTCATCGGCTCTGAACGACAGAAAATAATCTCGACTGGTGCTGTCATTGTCGCAGACTATGCTCCCGTAGATTAGATTAAAGCTCTTCCTGAATGATTTGGTTATCTTGCATTTAAGATGAAAAGTTCAACTCAAAACCTGGAGTGTAACTTTTCATGCCCAAAAGCGGTGATAAAATTCTGCAAATTGAATTAAGCTCGGTCAAATTATGTGAAAATTATTCAAAACAAAAGTGCACAAGCCGCTCAGCCACGCAGAAGTGTATAAGAATAAAGTTTATTAAATTACATATGAACTGAACAAAAGTGAATGGTAGCTGCGCCAGTGATGGTGTAATGGCGAACTAAGTAAGTACTTCAATACTGTAGAGTATTCTCCAAGTTTTCCACTACATTCCTGCAAGTAGTAAAACACCCACTTACACTTGAGCACTACATACCATTATTCTCGTAGAGAGGTGGCCGGGCAGAAATATAGCACGAGTAAAAGCCCCGAGTAAAACCGGAGACAAAAGCGAAATCAGAAACATCAGTATCCAAACACAGAATCCCAGCATCGGTCCTTCAGAGAGACTCTTGCTTGACCTCGCTCTGGATGTTCCAGTAGGTAACACCCTTATAGATGCCTTGGGTCGCAACCTCGAACCCCGTTGCCACAGATTTCGAATAGACTGTGAATGGAATCTCGATGTTGGAGCGGGTAACGGTGGCTGTCCCAATGATTTTATGGCGAGGGGGAGCAACTGCAGGGAACTTTACCGAGTAAGTTTTTGATTCACTGGATGTCGTGCCCCAATTAAACGTGTGGGAATTGGAAACATCGACTTTAACTTCACCCTCGGCAACAAATGGTATACCTGCCTTTCCACTGGCTCCCACTGTGATGGTGAACCCGAGTGTGTAATCAAAGGAGGAGGATTGGGTTTCGGTCCGTTCAAAATCGAACTCGACCGTCTGATCGACATCGCTATCGTTCCTCAGGCTCGATGTACCTATCACCTCGGGAACAGAGGCAAGAACCGTCGCCTGGTCAATTTGGTACTCAACTCTGTCTATCTCCGTATCTTCAAAGACGAATGTGAAGTACTGGTCGTCGGAGGCCTCGTAATCTGCTGGGTAGTTGAAGAACATAGGGTCGTCGTGTGTGCGGGAGTAGAGCACGGTGTTAGTGCCGACATTTCGAATTCGGAAGTAGCTTGCGAGCTTGCCGGTGCCGACATCGAACCTGAACCAGTTGTCCTCATACTGCCCGTCTCCACCAATCTGACTGAGCCGGGGATCGGGTGAATTCCTCGAATAAAGCACTTTCCCGGTGCATTTGCTCTTGATGAGATAGGACCCTGCATGATTCCCTGTCCCAGGAATCAGCTGAAACCATTGATCCGCGGACGTTTCTCCACCGTAGTGATAGACTGTAGGGTCCGGCTCATTGCGGGCGAAGATGACGTAGTTGCTAACGTAGCCACGAAGGCGGAAGGATAATTCCTTGGGAGGAATATACAATTCAGACATCGTGAAATGCTGCAAGTGGAACACAGAACAATAAGCAATTAATAGCCATGAATAGGGACTATGAGCAGAGAATAACGACATACATTATCGAAGGCTAGGTTCACAAACTCTGCGTCGAGATGGTCGGTCGAGTTCCGCCACGATTTCGGGTGTGATATGGCTTGAAGGTGGGCAACAAGTCGGGAATTGGGAGATGCTCAGAGCGGCACACATAAGATTAAGTAAAACACGGCTATGATCAGAGAAAATGACATACATTATCGAAGGCTACGTTGGCAAAGTCTGCGTCGAGACGATCGTTGGATCTCCTTCGCGGGGGTCTGTTGTGATATGGCTTGAAGGTGGGCAACCCAGCTTCTTATACCACCGAGAACGATGTCTTCCAAGTCTCCCTCTCTCAGACAGGCGCCAATTGTACGACTCAGTCTAACCCAACGATACCTTCCACGCCCTCTTAGACGGCCCAGTGGCAAGAACAATCCGAGCATGCGGCTCGGCGCTGACAGCGGGATAACGCGACCATCACGAACCCGATTGACAAGTTGCGAGATGGGCTTTGCCCCGAGTGAGGCCTCCACGCTCACGCGTATGCGAGCAATTCTGCATCGAATCGGCCTGTTTCCACAGTGGATCGCATCGAGCAAAAGTTGTCCCTAGCGATGGGCACGGGACGAGATGTCCGGGACAGACAAGAGTTCTAACTTTATCCCAGCACCAGCGACACGATATATATTCCATATCTCGTCCCGACGATACCATTCGTAGCCATTCGAATACGCCAAAGTTTTGGGAATTCAACCGGTTGTCAGTCTGCTGTCTGATCGCATGCAGAAGCGCGAGATTTTGTATATTTTCACGAGACCAGCGAGATGATACATGCAGAAGGCGAAGGCTTTATTCTCAGCGGGATGGTTGAGTTTAACATCGACGACGTTGGTTTAGTTTGATGGTTCAGTTGCAGAGTAAACATCGACGATGTAGTTATTGACGAAATCAGACTCTAGAGTCAGCTACTGCGCTAGTACATGTGCCATTTTGTGGACGCATTTGTAGAAACTGAGGTGTTCAATTGGAGGTTGAAACTCATGTGCGTCTTGATCCGCATGTCCCGGCATGCAGTCCCTATAGCCAAAATTTACGCATTGACTCTGAGTCCTCCGAGTTTATCATCTCTCCACTGAAAGCTTGAACCTCTCTCGACGAATTCGGTGACCATGATGTACAAACTACGGATATAAATTCAAATTTCCATTCTCATTGTAGATTACAGTTCCTTGGTCTGCTTTGATGCTTCAAATTCAGAGCCTTGTCCGATGATGTGGACGCTAATGTCAATTTCGTGGATGATGGATTCTCTTTGACGGATTCCAGCAGCATCTTGATCTCAAATTGTGGTGACCTTTATTTGAGGGACCGAAGAATCTTTGTTTGTTGTATGTTGGACCGAAGAACCTGATTGCTAATGTTAAGCAGTAAAATCAGGCCAGTTTTCTTGACTTATTTCAGTTTCGAAATGGCAATTGACGATTATTATTGAAAAATGGTTCCATAAATTTTCCTCCCAACCGCCATGCGAAGTTCACGAAGCCATGTTTGAACTCGGAGAACTGACCATAGCGAATATTAACACGCCTCAATTTTTGATCGAGTTACGTACTTCCTATCTGAACTTCACATAAGATATCAGACGATGTTATTTCAACGTACGTATCAAGGAGCTCAATCATATTGAAACCTTGTTTATCAATTCGCCAAATACTGTGAAAAACAAAAGATTTGGCACATTGAGCTTTCAATGTTAGTTCTTGTATCTACTTTTCAACCAAAGAATAGAGTCTAAAGTGACGATTTAGTATTATGAAATTGATTAACTTAGAGTTATAAAATAATGATCTTAGTTATAAATTGTATAATGTTTGAGTATCTAGGGCTATGTATTATTGTGTTCATTTTACTAGTTGAATCAATATTTGCTCAAATGAGTAATATAGCTAAAGCAAAGATATGTTTTTCGAGATACAAGAATCACTTACAATCAATATATATATATATATAAAAAAATTTATCTAAAGCATACACGTTACCTTAAGGATATGTGGAATCTAATTGAGAATGACATAAGAACTTAATTCAAGGACTTTTGATGGAGATACACCGGCCAACCGAGGTCTCTACACATGGCCGTCCGATTACCAAGAGACGGGCTGTGGAGGAAGGCAGATGATCGTCCGATGGGGTGGATAAGATCGGGAGACTTCCATGTGGCCAAATTCGTAACGATCAATTTACATGCTTGGAAATACGGAAGCCTATAAACGGACTCGAAGGGAGGGAGCTGTATAGCGCCTCGGTGAACCGTCCAATGCGCTCTCATATTGGACGGAGGAGATGCACCTAAGATACTCCCGGTCGCCCAGCTGTGCGCCTGAAGCACCACGGAAGGAGAGGTAGACACCGCGCTGCTGATCTCTATAGATCGTCAATGAGCGAAGCAAGGAGGAGAAAGACCTTCTTCCCTTCAATAGCCTTTTCCCAGCTCATCCTTTTCGACGTCAGTCATTTAACTGGAATCTACAGACGCTGTCGAGATTAGTACTGAGGGTATCGGCATTGCTGATAAGAAGGTATCGGGTTGTATTAGCGTTTCCGCAATAGCATCTCAAGAATTCGGTGAGTCGGAAAATTTGTCAGGTTCCTTCTGTCTGTTGTATAAGAATCAGAAGAATCTACGGAGTTTTGTTAAATACTTCAAATTTGGTAGAGAAGTCTACCACAACCTTCCTTCTTTCATGCATGAAGTTTTCCATGGCTTCTTTGTATTACATGGACAGTTAAATTATGTTACTAGGTTGCGAATGACGGATGAAGCTTTTCATCCTATAGGAGTTTTGAAATATCTTTCACTTTTTCTGTGTGCAGTGATTATCCAAGATTCTACAATTTGAAAGGTGGACTCCAAATTCTTGGTAGGCCGATAACGATGGGAGATCATGAAGAGTTTCCAAAAGAGTTAGTGGAGAAATTTTTGGTAAAATCCGTTTTCCTGAAATTCTCAAAGTGTGGCTCTTATCCACAGAAAATCGCTGCGTACACGGCGGATTTCGACGAGTCCGGGCCCCAATCTGATTTCCTCAATGCGCAGGGCTGCGCTCTGGGCGATAGTCTGATGAATCTCCCCGGGTTCAGAGACGGGACTTCGATTCTGTACAATGCCACCATCCCGAGCTCGCATGCGACGTTTTCCGAAGAGTGCTCACCGCATTGCATCTGGGACGTGAAGTCTGTCGGGTATTCTATAGAAGATGTGGTAACACACTTTTTGTTTTTTTTGCAGAATTTAAACAATTTTAGAAAACTAGTACCGAAGCAGTGTTTGTAGTTCGAAAAGTGTACGTTAAATAGAGTGGATTGATGAGACCGTCACGAGGTCACGAAGAATCGCGTAGTCGGATGTACCAACGCCAATGTCTTCGGCGCCTTCGGCAAAAGCTCCTTTTCTGAGGTGTCTCTACTCACGCGCTTCCAGCGTATAAGGAAGCTACGCTTCCGGCGCAGACACCTCAGGAGGAGGTTTTGCTAAAGACGTCAGGAGAAGGGCCCGGACCTCTGAAGGCGTCCGACCATGAGTGCGCCTTCGGCGATGCGCCGCTAGCGCGGAAAGGGAAAACCTTCATAACGATCGGAATACACGGTAGATCCAGTTGGTTGAAGTCACACTAGAAAAAGCTCGGGACGCTCGTTCTAACGAGCCCAAGAGCGTCGGAGATGGATCAGGGACGGAGAAGTTATGAGCGTCGGAAAACTCGTAGCCGGACATGCGCCGTTCGCGCTAGGGTTCACAGCCGGAAAGGATTCCCGTACGCCCTCGGCGATGCGCCTTCGGCGGAATCACGCGCTCATAGGAGGAAACCAACTCAGAGTCGGAAGCGCCTTTGGCGGCTGCTCATGGAAGGAAAGCGCCGGTCGGATGTACGCCTCCGACGTGGCGCTGACGGCCGGATTCGCCGACTGCGAGACGGACAGGGCCGACGACCAGTGTGCGGACGCCTTCGGCGGACGCACCTTCAGCGAAGACACCTTCCGCGCAGATTGCGCCGGAAGGGCAGGCAGCAGAAGCGGGCGGTGCAAAGGTGACAAGAGTCACTGCGGCGTCGACCCCTTCGGAGACCGAAGATCGAGCCGGAACAAGGGCTCAAGCAGTGGGATCTCCCACTGCCCTGGATATTTTAGCAGGCAGTGGAGCAGCAGTCGCAGCGGAAGCTGCTGCGCGCCACAGTTCCAGGGAGTCGCCAAGGGATTCGGTGGCGACTGAAATCCTCGAGACTGAGGATGAGACGATCTCGGAAGAGCAGGAAGCGGATTCTGTGCAGAAAACGCCAACAGGGGTGTTGTGCGAACAGATAGTCCCACTCCTGCGATATCTGGATCGCAAGACATCCAAGTACACGGGAACTGGAAAACCGCAGTCTTATGTGGAGACTATCAAGCGAAGGACGAGGAGCAAGGTGGCCATTTGGGCCTCTAGGTGCCAAGTATATGTGGATAGGAACACCGCCCTCCGACAACACCTGGCGGTCACACAGAAGCTATACCAAGCCTTGCAGCAGCAGAGGGAGGATGCGGCGACGAAAAGTCAGGCGGATGCCGAGCTAATGCGGGCAAGGATCGAGTCGGAATTGCAGGAAGAGCGGAGACAAAACCACGTCCTAGCAGCCGAGCTTGCGCGCCAGACGCGCGCCTTAGAAGAAAGTCAAAGAGCCCGCAAGGAGGATGAGGAGTTGTTGCGCAACTTGCAATCCGAGTGCTCGGATTTGAGGGCGCAGCGTGCGGAAGCGGAAATGCAGCTAGCAGAGGTGGAAGGCAGCTGCAGGGCGCGAGAAGAGTTGGCGACGCGGGTGACTCATTGTCTAAAAGGATACGCCCATTGGGAGGTGGCAGCTCAAGAGAGGATCACACTCAGGGAGTTCGAGCTTCGGGCGGCGGCATTGACGGAGGGTGACAGTCGGAGTCGGCGGCGAGTGGCGAGGAAATTAGAAACCTTCTTGTCGGGTGCGCGCGACACTATGGCGCACTTAGAGTCGGAAGTCACTGCAGCGCTCCGACGCCTGGGGTTGCGCAGCCGGTCGGAAGACTGGCAAGGAAGAGACAGCGAGCGGAGCAGTCCGGCGCGCAGGAGGCGCAGCACCGGATCCGCCGAGTGCAGTAGTATAGTTTGGTTTCGCGCAGATGTTGCGAGTAGTAGATAGGATAGTGTAGTGTTAGTTAGGACCTTAGAAGGTATAAAGTAGTTCAAGGCGTTTTGCCCTGGGACTCTTCCAGTTTCGGAA